CTCATACCTTTATACAGATTTGCCTCAGCATCCCTGTTCATGGTAGGCTAATAAAATTCTGTTTAAACACACATTTTCAGGAATATTGTCTTTATTCCTCTCAAGATCAAAACCCCCTACTTTGTTATGTCTATAAAATCCACCTACTTTACTGTAATTACTACTTCAGTGTTTACCTTCCCTACTAGAAGGTGGGAGGAACAACAAAGCCTATTGTCTCATTCACTGTTGTAACCTCAAACTGGCACATAGAAGATACCTAATTAATAGCTGTTAAATAAGTGAATTGTTAAAATAAATTTAAAAGAAACTGAGAACTAGAGATTATGGTTCAACTGACTAGAGTTCTGTGACCTTCAGACCTAAAAAGGTAATACTAAGCTGTTCAAGATGGATGATTCTTTGTATCCCTTTTCTAAGTTAGTGCCAAATCTACAGAAGATCTTGTGTTTAGGAGGGGAAAACTTCCTGATGACTAATTGGGTATACACAACAGATCTGAGATGGAAACCAGAAATCTGGAGTGATAGAGGCATGGAGAAGGGGGGTGGCAGGGGAAAGTTAACATGAAAGAGACCTATGATCTCTCAACAGATAACCAAGGATATTTCATTAACAAATGTGCAATAGGTGGACTGATGCTAACATATACATTTAAAAACTTAGTTAAATTTACATCAAAGGCAGAGTTATGAGAAAATGTAATAATACATCATGGTGTATTTCAACACAAAGTTATCACTATTGTTTATATAATTATATAAATTATCATATAATCTAAGCACTTACTTAGACCCCTCACATTTATCTTAGGAACCAAAACATGAGAAAAACTTTAGAAAATTAGAAAAGGATATAGCCCTTTTTATTTTTCATCGGAAGCCAGAAGATAGGACTGGAGATTTGTGAAATCATGATAGCATTTCTCAGATAATAGTATAGAATAATGGACTATAGATAATATAGAACTAAATTTTCACAGCTGAGAGGAAAATAAAGCACAAGTATATATCTTCAGTATACTTAGAAACTAAGAATTCTAACACAGCTCCATCTGACTTAAAGAACTCCGTAAACTTTTTATTCTATCTTTTCTACAGCTTGACTTGTTTTAAAAAGCAATTCCTTAATAAAGCAGAAAAAAATAATGCAATTAATAGATTTAAATTTCTTAGTCAGTTTGGTTACTTATAATGCTAGTAAAAAGGTTCCATGAATGATGGGATGATAATTTATTCAAATAATGTTTGGTATTACATTATTTAGTGTATTTTTAATTTATTTGATCAAAAATAAAGTACACAGAACTGACAGGGACCTCAGATGATTGCTGTTCCAGTTCACACTTCCCAAACTTTAATATATACATGAATCATCTTTGGATCTTGTAAAATGAAGGTTTTCATTCAATCCATCTGGGATGGGGCCAAAATTTTACATTTTTAAGAAGTGCCCTAAGGATGCAGCTTCTGCTGGTGTAGGAACTGCACTTTGCATAGCAAAGATCTAAATACTAGTGATTCTCAAAGTGTGGTATGAAGAACCCTAGGGAGCCCCAAGACCCTTTTGGGAGACCTATAAGGTACTTCACTTTCCAAGGATATGATCTGCCTGAGGCCAGATTGTCTTCACACACTTCAACCAAAATAATATACTGCAACAAACTGAAGGCAGAAGCAGATATGAGAATCTGGTTGTCTTCCTTTTGACCAGACATTAAAGATATTTGTAGAATGTAAAAATGCCACTCTTCTTACTAAATTTTTAAATTAGTATTTGAAAAAAATATTTGTGAAATGTTACTGTCAACATATATGGGGCTTATTATGTTATTTTTTAATTACTGAATACATTATAAAATTCCATATTAATTTCTAATATGGTAAACTAGATAAAACACAAGTAAACAAAGGATCCTTGGGGTCCTCAATAATTTTAAGAGTATAAAGAGGGCCTGGTACAAAAGAATTTGAGAGCCACTGCCTCAAATCATTCAAGTCTGGTAGCTGCTATCTTGATCCCTTCTCAAAAGATCTCAATGGACAGAACCTCAGACCTCTACTAGTAAACTTTTGCAATGTCTTATAACCTTGCCAAATTCTTTATGTTCTATTATGAGTTTTCTGTCCTTATTTAGTCTCCTTTAGGTCAAGAAAACAATTGCTGAGCACCTCCCTCTTCCAATTATGCATATAAATCCCTTCCCTCAAGAAATTATAAATAGTCTAAAAACTAAAAATGATGGGACTCAATCAGAAAGGACTCATGATATCAGGAATAGTCCTGAAACATTTGAGGGGCTAATATGTGAAATTACTATTTGGTTTTCCCTATGAAATCTCAGGGAACAAAGTGAGAGTAATTACAAGGTAAAAATTATGGAGAAACAATTAAAAAAAAAAACAAACACTTTCTAGTCATGGAATTTTGACTCTTTCTAACTATTCAAGTTATTGTTTTCTGCTTTATTTGTACCAAATATTTTTCCTATTCTATAAAATGTATTGCTTTATATGTGCATTAGTTTCTACTTGCTACTATTCAATTTCATTTTAGTAGGACGATTTTGTTAATATTTCAAAGGTGACATTAAGTTTTGTTCCCCTTTTGCAGAATAAATTCAACTCTCTGAATCTTACATACTGTCTAACTGACTATATTTGGGATTCCTTTCATTGAAACGTTTATTCTTCAAAATAGTACTGAGTACCTACAATATGCCATATGCTATACAATATGTATAAAAAAAAATTTAATAAATCAGGTTCTAGGACAATACCTTTTAAGACATTGTTATATTTCATCCTTCCTGTTCCCAATCCCTCTCCAGAGGTGAGGGTGGCTATAGGTTCATATAGTTTAACAAAACTATATGAAAAGAAGAAAATAGAGAACTAAAGGGTATAGAACCTGTTGAACATAACAAATATGGTATATCTATACAATGAAATATTATTCATACATAAAAAGGAATTAAGTACTGATTAATTATGTAACATGGATAAACCTTGAAACATTATGCTAAGTCAAAGCATAACACAAACAAAACATAACACAAAAGGATATGTATTGTATAATTCTATTTGTATGAAATATCCACAATAGGCAAATCAAATCCATGGAGACCAAAAGTATAATATTGGTAGCCAGGGGCTGGGTGGTAAAGGGAATGGGGAGTGACTGCTAATGGGTATGGGGTTTCTTTTTCTGGAGTGATGGAAAGGTTCTGGCATTAGTGGTGATGACTGCAAAACACTGTGAATATACTAAAACCTTGAAATGATTTAAATGATGCATTTTGTGGTATGTGAATATTATCCACCACCACCCCCGCAAAAAAACACAGAAAAACCAACAACAGGGTAAATACTATACTAAATACGGAA